CTCCTTTTTCGCATTCATTGTAATTAAATTGGGGTATACATTTGTACACACATACATACATCTAATTCATTACAATTATACAAGTGTAAATATATAAACCTATAAAAGCAGAACAAACACAGAAAGACAAAAAAAAATCCTTACATACGTAATTACGTACGTTTCATACTGACCTACACATACACACACACACATTCACATGCACACATGCACAAGCCACACACATACACACACACACACACACAGACAAAAGCAGGCGCACACGTACAATGCAATGTAGCACGAGGCTGTTACTACATCTATGAATCAGACAGAAACGTACAAGAGCGGATTAATCAACTAATGACAGTTCACAGACATACACACGCACACACACACACATTCACACAAACATGCACGCTGGTATAAGCAACACACGCGCACACACATGCACACACACAGACACACACACAAATCAATCAGTCAATTATTAAATTTCTAAGTATAGACCCTTCAGAACCATCAGAGTAAAACCAACAACAGATAAATTAAATTCAAGAAGTACACCCAAACCTAATGAGTGAAACAACGCCAAAGACCAGGAGAGCAACGACACCAATCCCCACGTCCTAAAAAGAAACCGCGCCAACTGCTGATAGTTAACAACAACATAGAAACAACAACAACAACAACAACAACGAGAGTTGTAATATATTAAATATTAGAATTAAATTTTGTTTAAAACTAAACAAACGAACCAACAACAACAACAAAACAAAAAACAACCCAAAAACACTGAAAAATTAAAACGAATAACGGAATAATACTGAGGTATTATATAGTATTATTATTGAAAAATAACTTTTAAATCTATTAATTTAACACAAATCAAAACAAAAAAATGAACAATTAAATGACTAAACCAAACAAACGAATAGATAGATAGATAGATAGATAGATAGATAGATAGATAGATAGATAGATAGATAGATAGATAGATAGACAGACAGACAGACAGACAGACAGATAGATAAACAGATATATTACAATGACAAATATAAACCAAAACATTTGAATGAAAGTTCATATGGAGAAAGATACGTCAAACGCCTATTAGTAACGAATGAAAGTAACGTTTCAATAATACTACCCCCTTTGAAAGTAAGAAACCTCACGTACGTAGCATTGATCTTTAAAAGGAAATACGATGATGTTACCCCAGCAGTATGAACATAAACGAACGCACATTCAAAAAGAGAAATAACAGGACGAGAATGAGAATAACAAAGGTAACATTAACCAAACAAAAAAAACAAATTAAAATAAAAGAGAATAATAAGAATAATAATAACTTCTTAAAATAACAAATAACAGGGATACTAATATGAACCCACAAAAATGAGAATAATAATAAAAATAATAAGATAGCAATAACAACTTCTCCAGTTACTTACATCCTGGGTTGTCTCTAGGCCAGCTTTCTCTGCGTGAGCCAGTAACTGCTCCAACTATACCATCACCATCATCGTCGTCATCAAGTTCAAGGACGACGACGTCATGATGATGATAATGATAAAATAGATGATGATGACGATGATGATGAAATAGATGATGATGTTGGCGATGCTGAAAGTGACGAAGATGAATATGATGACGCTGGTACTTGCTAGCATACGTTACGTTAGTGGTGATGACGCAATTGAACGAATGAATGAATGGATGAATGAATAAATGAACGAATGAATGAATGATCAAGAATGAAGCAAATAACTGTAACAAAAACAACTGTGACAGAGACAGAAGGTGCATATGAGAGATGTGCATGTAAGCTACTTAACAAGTTATAATGAGTCCAATTATTAATATTATTATTCCATCCATTCCTACACTATGTTATATTTATTTATTATTTACAAATAAATAAGGTAAAAACTTGAAAATACTGGGAAAGAATTTTTAAAATCTACGCCTATTAGCTACAAATGTATGTGAATTTTCCATAAAAATTGCAGACATAGTCAACTGGATAGCCTAACCTAACTTAACTATATGATGCATATGCCAAAAATAATTACTAATAATTATAGATATTTAAAAATAATTAGAAATAATTAGAGATATTTATAAATAATTAGAGATAATTATGAATATTTTTAGATAATTATGCATGAAAGAAGAGCAGAAAAAAGAACTTACGACAAGGAATTCTTTCTTATCTACTTTCTCATCCCCATCTATGTCGAACATGTTGAAAGCTATCTTGAAGCCTGATTTCGGCTCTGAATGGTGATTGGTCAGTCAGTTGGTGAATAATTATAATAATTTATTCAAATTTATTAAAATTTATTTTAATTTATTCAAATTGATTACAACTGAAAAATTTTTCTAAATAACATTTATTCGATCTGGTACAGTCAGTTTGTATTAATTTACTATTCTCTATCCCAAGTACAAGCATATGAGCCAAACAAACACATAAACACACACACGCAAACAAACAAACACACACAAACATGCATACACACACGCAAACAAACATATGTATATATGAAAAAAAATGTTTGAATAGTTAAAAAATTTAACAAACTTGTCAGAACACAGAGTAGGAACAAGTACTCAGTGAATGATATGAGGCCTTTGTGGAGTTGAAAATCAAAAAATTATAATATGCAATCATGATTGTCATAGAAAAATCTGTAAAAAAAAGATTATCTTTAATAATCATAGTTATTCCTGATTATAAATTATAGCATCAAATAACAATAAAATATAATTATATCATATTATTATTATATTATAACTTTAATTAAATAAAATATTATTAGTATAATTAAAATAATTACAATTGCAATTATCCACCAAACCATTTTCACTGAGGTTCCTAAACATCTGACTTGAATTTTTTCTTCTGGATGGTGTGGATTTCAGGAGTTTTTCGACACCAGCTCTGTTCAACTTCAACCTACCTGTTCTGTCTGAATAATTATAATAATATAATATTTCCATAATCAATAAGAAATTAAAATAAATTAACTAAAAAATAATAATAACATTAACGTTGGATAGATGAATGAATGAGCAAAAGAATGAATAAATGAAAGAGAAAAAATGAATGAATGAATAAATGACTGACATCTAGGATTATCATAAGTGATAGACTCGAGAAAATCTCTGGGTGTCATAAAGACGTGGCCGTGGAACTCGACTGAAGCAAAATTGTTGAACCTCTGCTCTCGATATGATGGGTGATGTTTCTCTACTTCCTCTGTTGTTGCCTCCTGGAAATTTTTTGATTTTTGTTTTATAATTTCTATCTTTGGCTAATATTTTATATATTACCATTTAAAAAAATAATATAATCAAAATGAACGTTATATAATTTTTCTTGTTCTTATAATTTATAGATTTTATTAAGTTGTAAAATATAAACTCTTAATTGTAAGTTCAATGACTATTTTACAATTAAAAAGCTTGGGGAGGGCATAAAAGTTTCTTTTAAAATCCAAATTAAATTAAAAAAAGCACCATGTTTTCCCATAGCTTAGTTAGTTAGAGTAACAGTAGGTACCATCTCTAAACTAAAAGCTTATTATAAAAATACATTTTTTTTTTTAGTGAATTCATTTCATTTCATAAAAAAGGATGCGACGTAAGAACGACAAAATATAATTGAAAAATGAGCAAACCTTAGCTTGTACGGCAGTGTCTCCAGTGAGGACATTGCCATTTGAGAAACATTTTCTGTAGGCCAAGTATGAACTCGCTAAGGCAACAAGAGACGTTGTGATAATATTTCGCGATTTGTAACTTTTTGAGTCCAAAATTTTAAATGTTAAATTTCTACTAAACGTGCGGCAACAAATCTGATATGAATTCCGTTTGTAATAATTGCAAGAACTGCAGAACAAAAATTTCCCAAATCTTACACAGACGGCCATCTTTAATGGCAACTTTATTGTTTTGCTTCTGCTTTAAAGCCAAAATCTTCAAAATAAGCCAGTATAAAGTTAACAGTTTCTCGTTAAATTAAAAAATTTATATTATTTTGTTAATTGTAACTAATTATATTATTTTATTTTTACTGTTTTTTAGTCTAATATGACTGAAAAATGAAAAAAAACGTGTAATTTTAAAACTTAAACTCACTTTTAGTTTCCTTTAGATTATAACTTTTAATCATTAGCAACGTTGCTTAGTGATGGCATAAACAAGAACGTGTGTGTTAGATTAGTGTTGTATAGGCACTCACACACACACACATATATATATATACACTCACGTATATATATATATGTATATATATATATACAAACATAAATATGGTATTTCAATTGTTATCTTGTAATGCCCAGTGAAATTTATTGGAGCTCGTTCATTTCTGTTTCTGTTACGTTAGTAAGCAGACTTGGTTTGTTTGGTTGGAATGACAGTGAGGCATTATTAATGATAATATTGTATTTTTTTTATATATTGATAGTTATTATCTAATAATTATTGTCGTTTAGTTATGTTTTTATCACAAACTGATATTTGATTAGATGACATTTTTAAAGTGTTAATTTAGAATAAAAAATTATGAAAAATAATTGAAAAATATTTTTCTGACTCGAAATAAACTAATACAAAATTCAACATTTTAGTGTTGAATTATTTCCTATTAGAAAATATTTGCCTCGTTTTATGAAACAAAACATGACTGGTATGATGGAAGATTTGTCAGATTTCAACACAGATAAAGGTAAAAGATTTACTTATTAATTTTAATTCTTTTTCATCTAAATCTAAAATGAAACGAAACTGTTGAGTAACTTGAAACTACTGAGTTCGAATACAAAGAGATATCCCTCCGCAAATCACATGCCATTGATAAACACATGAATGAAAATATCGGTTTATCACTTTTAAATGTAATGGTTTATCAATCACATGTGATTGATAAACCTTGATTCACGTGTATATTAAATGAAAAAAACACCAAAAAAATTGAAAATTCTCCGAAAAAAAATCTTTTTTAGATTCAA